AGCAGGATGAAACCTTCATTTTCCCTGAGTGCTTAATATGGGAATGTTTTGGATGGTGGGCACTAAGTTGATTTGGCACTTAAATAAAAATACATCAAGATTCAATATTTATTAAAAATAAGAATTTGAAGGCTACTTTTATTGAACTGCTTCAAATACAGTTGGAAACTGTATGGGTACAATTAAACATTTGCCTCAAGCATTTGTAATCCAAACTCAGAAGTATTAGGCTACCTTATGAAAAACTTGAAGTGCATTTGACAGGAAAGTAACAATGCTTTTAGCATTTTCCAAGCTTGGGGACATTTTTCAAGTCAAGAAATGTATAAATGCTGAAAAGTAATTACATTTTGGAAGTGTTTTTGGTTTTGATAAACAAATACATCTTTTAGGAAAGAATCTGCTTTTTATGAAATATTGTATAATAATAAATATAATGTTTGCATACTTTACTAAGTTTAAACTTTTTTTTTGTTACTTATCCCTACAAAAACTTTCAATTTGTCAACAAGCCTCATCACCATCCAGTTTATTTGGTATTGTTTCACTTAGACAACTGCAGGACTTAATTTCCTTATGTTATAAAGCTCACAGAATTCTATAATTCTGTTACTTGTACTGAAAAGAATTATGGCATCAAAATGCAGACAGTTTTAGAAATCCCTTATATCAATATTTCCATTAGGTTTACTCACTAATGGTGGAGTTAAAAAACTCACCTTGGACACAGAGAGTAATTTGGGAAAACTACTGTCTACATTATGATGCTTAGGCACGCCAGATATATACACGCACATATATATATGTGTGTGTGTGTGTGTGTATGTATGTATGTAGTATAAGTATGAGGAGATAGCCAGCTGAAGAACTTCATAGCATATTCATCCTTCACAGATGATAAGAGTAGTGGTCTTATCTGGCAGTGAAAGCAGTTCTTCTGTATTGTCTCTATATCTGGGATATGTAATTGCAATATACATTTCTATAACTGTACCCTTTATGACATTTATAACTAGATGACCTAATCCTTTCCTACAGATTTTGCCATTGTTCACATTATACCAATACTTTGTTTCTGAGATTTGTAAGGACTCAACTAAATGTATCGAAGGAAGAATCTTAAAGGTAATTAATGAAACTTTATTTTCACAGCACATTCTATTTCAAAAAAGCTTTTCATTTATTTGTTAAATGTAGTTGGTTAAATATTTCTTTATATATCACTACTGGGGAAAGTAATGCTTTAAAGTTCAGCTGTTGCTTAGTGTTTCTTAGCATGATAGAGGGTAGAATAGGACTACTTTCTAAAAACAATTATTTGTATTCTCAGATTTAGTAGGATGTAGAGTTATTTACACAGTTTTACTGTTAATGTCCTACAGAGACAGTTAGGAATTCCATAATTTGTTTCTAGTCTCCATTTAAAAAGCATTCTCCTTAAAGATATGATCCTAAGATTTTCCCTCTAAGATCCAAACTTTTCACTTGATATTTTGTTATCTTGTTTCACCATTCTTGTAAATGTTTTATTAAGTGCAAAACATAAATGTTTTCCTGTTCACAGTGTTCACTTCTGCATTTATTATCACTAATCGTGGTGGAACCAGGTTGTCAGATTTCTGGGACTTCTGTTGTTTCAGTGATGTTTGCTTGTTGGTTTTGTTTTGGATTTTTTAAATCCCTTTCTTTTATTTTTTGTTAAAGGAATCTAACTTGTAGTAAGAATGAAAGGATTATTGGTTTTAGATATTGTCAGGAAATGCTATAGGGGTTAAGGAGGTTCGCTGAGTACTTCGAGACTAAGATGAGTGAAAACTGATTTAGATCAGGGACAGATCATGGACTGACACTCAAAGCTCTATCCAGATTAATTAAATTCTTTTTCTTTGTCAGGAGCAAGTTTTTTTTAAGAACATGGTTTTGGGGTTTCTTTTAATTTTGTTTTTTTAAAGTGAAAGATCCATATTTGAGATTTTGTTTGTTTAGTAAAAAAATGTAAAAGATTTCTTTCCATTAAAGGACATTGTCCATCAATCTACTGTTCCAGTAGCCCAGTCTACTTGAAAGTTACCTTTGAATACATTTTATTTTGAGCAAAAAGAATAACTCAAAATTACTTCAATCACAGGCCTTTTTTTTTTTTCCACAGATTAAAGTGCTTACAGATTTAGGATTTTTTACAGAGGCTTTCCATGAACTATTTTCGCTTAATTGTGGAGAGAAAATTCCATGGAGAATACCTGCAGGATACAGAAAAATTGAACAAATGAAGGTAAACATCAATAAAGTATCAAAATATAACACTCAATTACCTTTGTGAAACCACACATACTTCATGCCTGCAAGTTATTACACATCCTTACAGAAATGCTAAATTTCTTTCAATAGGCAGGTCAGATAGTAGGCATTGAATTACTTTAATTTCTCTCGCTGGGCAGCTGGAGCAAAAATAAATTTTGAAACATACTTTCTGTCTGCTTTATACAGTGAGCAATGGAGAAAATATTGTTGAAAAAATGTGTGATTTCATATGAAGATGTGAAAAATGTGGCTAGAGTTCTCCCTCTTGCTGCCCCAGCCAGGAGCAGGGCAGCTGGGGGGCAGCTGTGGCAGCCCCACCCCTGGGCATCAGACACTTCTGTGGCTGGGGACAGGCTGAGGCTGGGTCAGGACATGGGCTGGCAGGTGGGGGTAAGGATCAGACCAGGTGGGAACTGGTCTCAGACACAACCCCAGGGTGGCTGCACAGGGCCCTGGCTGCGAGGAGCTGGAGACTGGCCCTGCTGTGGCAATGCTGGGGCAGGCGCTGATGGCCCTGGGAGCAGACAGGGGGTCTTGGGACTGGGGCAGCGTGGGGGGGAGTCCCAGGAGACACTGGGCGGTAAAAGCCTTGACAGTCACAGCACCCCAGGTCAAACTCTTTGATTTTCTCCATATCCAAAGCCAAGTAGTGATCTTACCTTGATACCTAATTTGCTACCAGGTTATGAAGTTGTTAACAATTGACGTGGGCTTCTTTGTCTTACCTTTGCAGGCAGATATAGTCCAGGGCTATTGGGCAAGCCTCCCCCAAAACAGCATAGCCTTTCCTTGTTCTTCAAGCACATACCAAAATAATCTAATTAGTTACTGCTGGATGGATGTAATCAAGGTCTCACTTATCTGAGGGTGCTTTTGGGTAAGGTGTCACCCCATGACAAAATATGTGCGCCAGTTCTAGAGAGCTGGATCAAATAGGTGATAGAAGACTAGTGGGACAGGTAGGGACATCCCTCTCAACAGCATCATGGATTTAACTTGATTGTACAGCCATACTCTATGCATACAGTAGGATTATATTTCTAATTTGGTGATAATTACAGGCTGATGTTCAAAGGGGAATTCATAACCCACCTTCTGACTTCACATTTGCTTCCCTTAGCCTGGCTTGTAGGTAGTGAAGGCGTCACTGCAGAGCAAATTGAGTTTAATGAGCTGATTTGAAAGGAAATTACCCTGCTGCTACCTCCCCAAACCTCGAGGGGGAGTTTCCAGCTGACCTACAGCCTGACTGGTATTGCCTTATAGCCTAAAAAATGGCTAGAATTAGCACAATTTTTTTTTGGCAGCAGCAAACAAATTAATGTCTGAGAAGAGATGACTTAAATTTATGATAGGATGACAAATGTCTACATTTATAAAACAGAAATATGGACAAGCTGCAGTGGTATTAGGCCTTAAATGAAATATAAATTTAATAAAAAGTAAAATTTAAATATTTATTTAAAAAGGTGACCTTTTTACTGTGCCAATGAGACTTGCATACTAACTGCATAGGAAGATAAGAAACTGAAATCTAGTAGTTTTCCTTAGAGCACAGGATGCATCACATTCTCACTAGGTTGAGCCATCAATTATGAGCAGCCTCACTGGAGGCTTTGATTCTGCAAAGCCTCCCTGTTCCTGGCCAGAGCAAGGAATGCATTTAGTCCTTAATTATGGTAGTGAGGTTAAAACAAGCCTTTAAGTCCTTTACTTAATTTGTATATTGTTTGAAGAGGTCACACAGTTCTGGTTGAATTGTCATCTGTCTTTTTGTAACTGGGTTCCCAGGCAAATGCTTGAGTGAACAGCAGAGAAGGTTCAGCATTAGATTTCTGGTTAGGGTGCATGTAGATTAGGAATGCATGTAATAGCTAGTGCTTGCTGGGCTTCTGCACAGCTCTCAGAATAAGAAGGACCCATATTCCAGGGAATGATAGAGATCATGGAGGTCTACATCTGGAATTAATAGATGAGTTAATAAAGAACACACTGAACCCAAGTGACAGTTCTGTGTGGAGCTCTCAGTTGTAATGAAGACTGGAAAAGATCTTTAGCTCTGCCTTTTCCTTCCACTCAGGAGACTGAGCTATCTTCTGGTGAAAAAGTAAAGGCTTTTTCAGCAAGGACTTAGAACTAGGGTTAGGTTTCAGAAAATTGAAGCATGTGTGAGCAAAGAAATAGTTGTTTTTAGAGCCCTCAAGGAGGCTGAGTTCTCAAGTTCATCTTGATCTGTAGTTCTTGTTTTCATTCCATTCACAGATCTGTGCTTTGGTGAAAAAGAGAAGGGATATGCTAAGTCTGGAGTTAAGTCTGGGATTCAGAAATGTAAAGAACATAAATGCAGCTAACAGTATCTATAGAACTCCTAAAATTTGGTCTCTCCTTATGGTTCAGAAGTGTAAAGCCTGTAGAAGCCAAGTAATTGTTGGTATTTTCAGAATCCTCAAAGTACAGTTGGAAATAAACTGCACTTGTTCACTGCTCTGCAAAGTCATATGTTTTATATCCATACTGTAACACATTACTTATTTTTGGTTTTGTCCATTTTACAGCCGTTAGAGAAATTTGACTCATCAAAATCTCTCCTGACTGTTACAAATTTACAGGTAAAAAAAATCTGAAAGAGCTAGAAAATTTCTTGCTAGAAATAAACATTTATTTTTCTGGCATCAGTTATTTTTGTTTCAGAAAATATACTTAATCTTTGTAAATATTAGTAAATATAAAACATATTCTTCTCAACAGTTGAAATTTTAGATTTTATGGATGACCTCTCAAGGAAGAGACAAGTATCATTATCACCATTTTTCAGGTGGCAGACCAAATATGTAAAAATCTGATTTGTCTGTGCAAAGAATGCTAGTGGACTTATTCAGGTTATGTCATGAGATGTAGGATATGTTGTTCATTCTGATAAAATATGGAGAACATCCATCATCTTGCCTTCTCATTTTTGTCAGTCAGAGCTGTCTTCATAAATTTATCCTAATTCAGACTGGAGCTGGAGTCCATTTCTAAAAAAGAAGGTGAATCTGTAAACTAGTTAATGAATAATAACTTCTAATTTTAGTTAAAATTACATGTTCATCAATTACTTATATTTTGGTTTTCAGTATTACTAGTTTTCTTTCATTTGCCTTGTCACAGATCCATTGATCTAGTAAGGGTATATGTTGGCAGAATGTGCAAAAAAAGCTGTACTATAAAAACAAACTGATAAAGTAGGAAACCCTCACTATTTTCTTCCAGTTTACTCTCTTTCCTGTGTCTCCTAAAACAGTTGATATTAGAAGACAGAAGTGAGATGTCTATTTTGATAGCTTTTGATTTCACTAGTTTCAGATTTATTCTGCAGTTGTGTTTTATCTTGAGCTTTGGATTTAAACACTTCACAGTCTATACGGGGCTCTTACTGGTCTCCTTATGATTTTGCAAAGCTGCTTAGACTTTCTACTTCTAAATGTATTAATCTAAAGTTAGCATCTTAAACTCAAAAGAAAGATGATATCACAAATAGCAAAAAGATTCTATAAAATACCATAGAACCATACCATGGAAAGGTCCCCAAAGATCATGTTGTTCCAACTCCCCAGCATGGGCAGAGACACCTCTCACTAGACCAGTTTGCTCCAATCCCCATCCAACCTGGTCTTGAACAATTCCAGGGATGGGGCATCCACAGCTTCTCTGGGCAACCTGTGCCAGTGTCTCACCACCCTCACAGGAACAAATTTCATTCTAATGTCTAACCTAAATCTCCCCTCTTTCAGTTTGAAAACATTCCTTCTCATCCTATCACCGCATACCCTTATAAAAAGTCCCTCTCCAACTTAGACTGCTATAAAGTCTCCCTGGAGCCTACTCTTCTTCAGGCTGAACAACCCCAAGTCCGTCTCCATAGCAGAGGTGTTCCAGCCCTCTGATCATATTGGCCCTCCTCAGGACTTGTCCTCTTTAATATGCTACAGATTTTGATTCCTTGCTTAATCTTCTAGTTAGGGTGAATTGTAACAACAGACAGTCCTTTGTATTGAGATTTCCGAACTACAGATTTAACTAAGTATTTTTTATGACTACATAAGCTCAAAGAGTGCTATGCAACACAACAGTGTGTGGACAATGCAAAAAATGAGAACTTACACAGAGAAATAGCTGCAGCTTCATAGATGCACATTCTACTGGAAAAGTGATCACTGAGGCTGTTGCAAACTAAGTTTGGAAAAGAAAACAGCAACTCAACCATAATGACTAAGAGCATATTACTAATATTATTCCTGTTAATTGTTGATAAACATCATTATTAATAGAAGAAGAATTTGCCTTGAACAAGAAAAATGTAAAATATGTTATTTCAAGTACTCCCAATTGTTAACTTTCTTGTAGGTACTGGAAGACATATTTAATTTGAGTCTATCGTTAACAATGGTGCCAATGTGTAACCAACAAATTATGAACAAACTGACTTTAGCCAAAACACATTCCATCATTTGCCTTTCTGCCACAATAAATAACATACCTGAAAAAGTGGAAAAACACATCTATACTGTTGAAAACCCGCCCCCAAAGGAGCCAAGCAGACTTAGAGCATCAAAGGCAAAAGGTAATTATAAGGGTGATGGAAAAGTGCATTGATTCTGCAACTTGTTTCAAGCATAGTTTTCCCACTTTTAACTACATAGGTATTAACATGTGATATTATAAACAATATTCATATTAAATGCTGCTAGAAAAATAATAAGCATTGAGATTTTTCAAGGTTTTTTTGCTAGTATCTCTAATATTTTTAGAGGACTTCCATTCTTCCTCACTTACTTTGTTATGGAAAGTCCCAATTATAAATAAAGGAAAAAAGGAGTATATTGTTCAAATTGCAGAGAATGCTTTGGTTCTGCTTCTGTTACCTGAAATTTCATTTTAAATGTATTTGACAGGTGCTGCTGGTAAGAATTCAAGACAAAAGGAGAAAAGTGTCACAATGGTGCAGCTCATTGACTGTAAAGATGAATTAAATATGGCCATGCTGAAGGTAATTCTGTTTTTTAGGAAAAAAAAAAAAGAAATTACAGATTGTTCCAAAAACATTGCTAATGCTTTCAATATAATAGAAATTATCATGAGAGTGTGGCATGAATAAGGGGACTAATCTGACTGTAATTTTACTAGCCATACATGAAATCTTAGTTGTTTGGGGCAGTTTTTTCAAATATTCCTAGTGGTTATGGTCTAGTTTATGCTATATAAATGTCCATGGGAACTACTGTCACATTCAGATCTCAATGTGGCTGTTTCAGCAACCAGGGTAAAGACAGAATGGGATTTCCAGGATAAAACTGTAACCCAGAGGTGGCACCTGTAGAACAAGTCAGAGCTCTTTGATGGGGCAGTGTGCTCTACAAATAAATGGAAAACTATTCTCTCTCATATGTGAAACATCTCACATTTTCCATGTTCCTCTTTCTGGTACTTTGTTTTGGAGAAACCATACCACAGCTTATTAGCTTCTTTGTTTGAATGGGAAGGGGGGTATTTGTTTATTTCTTTTGTTTTTCTGTAGGGGATTTTATTAGCAGAAGCCGAAGAAAGTCTTAGCCGTCTTGTGCAGAACACACAGGACAAGTATGATGGGAAGATATCTCGGTGTTCTGCTGAAGATTTAAAAGCTCTCATTGAGGCCAAACTTCAGCTTGCTGCTATTTCTCAGCAAAGGCATCAAGCAGCTTGCAGGTAAGTAGATCTCCCTTACAAGGAAAGGCTGAGGGAGCTGCGTCTCTTTAGCTTGGAGAAGAGGAGACTGAGGGGTGACCTCATCAATGTTTTAAACATATAAAGGGCAAGTGTCAGGAGGATGGAGCCAGGCTCTCCTCAGTGTCCAATGACAGGACAAGGGGCAATGGGTGCAAGCTGGAGCATTTAATTTTTTATTACTGCTTTATTTTATTTAAAAGATCATTGGTTATTTGCCTAGGATTTCTCTGTGAGGTGTTTTTGTGATAGTATTGTACAAAATAAAAGAAAGAGCTGCAGTGTTCACTTGTTTTGTTAAAGTCTGGATATGTTAGGTTATGTGTTTTCTTTAATTTTAAAATGTTCAGCAGAACACCGATGTTGTTATCTCCAAACTACTTAATTCTACTTTGTTTCAAGAACACCCTGTGTTACTATGCTAAGAGAATAAGTCCTTAATGTATTACTGCAATCAAATTATATTTTAAATTTGATTAAAAACCACTGATTTAATCTTTAGTACATTAGACTAGATTTTAGCAAGCATTAATTACAGTATGTAAAATACTGCTGTATTTACATGTTCTGTTAGATATTCTCTCCAAATTATAACTCCAAAATTTGTGACCTTTTTGAAGTCTGGATTTCTTTTGAAGAACTTAATGAAATTACAGTTGTGCTCTTCTTTGAATATATGGAGCATACAGAAATATATTAGATATTGGTAGATGTTAAATTCTGAACATTGTTTTTATCTTTCATCTAGGATTATTATTCTGTTTGGCAGAATTGTAATTAAAAATTAATTTGTGTAAGAAGGATAATAGTTTGACAATGCATAATTTTTATTTGTGTCGAGATCTTTCAATCTAATCTAATCTAATCTAATCTAATCTAATCTAATCTAATCTAATCTCTTTATCTAATCTATTTTATATTTGGCTGGAAAATCTTTGAGGGTAACAATTTTTAACAAGATATGCAGCATATAGAGCCGTCACATGTCAGACTATATATAGATTAATTAGCATGTAGTAAGCATAATAAGTATTTGTAACTTTTGTTCGATCTAAACACACCAAAATTATTACAGTAAATCTTACATTTTAGTAACCATTAAGCAAAAAGCAAAATTGGTATTTTTTTGTTGTTGGAATACTGGTGGATTGCTGTAACACTCCTGCTGATGAAATGGTAGGTGATTCAGTTGGCCAACAGATAAACCAGTCTCAAGAGATCTTATCCTTTTTACCCAACTAACATAAATGTTTTATTCTATGTCAAAGGCAAACTGCTTTCCTTTTCCCAGCTGTCTTAGGTGAATAAACAAATCTCCAAATCAGAGAGCCTTTAAATAGCACAATTCCTTCTTAGTTTAGCAGCTAGTGGCACAGCACTTCCTCCCATTCCCCCTCACCCCCCTCTACTCTATTCTTGTGAGATCCCACCTGGAGTATTGTGTCCAGTTCTGGAGTCTCTAGCATAGGAAGGACATGGATGTGTTGGAGTGAGTCCAGAGAAGGGCCATGAAGATGATAAGGGGGCTGGAGCACCCTTCCTGTGAAGACAGGCAGGGGTATTGGAACTAGGTGATCTTTGGATCACCTTCCAACCTGAACCATTCTATGATTCTATTAAAAAAATTAACAAGGATAGGAGCTTCACAGTGTTGTACAGGCTCCTGCCTGAAAACAGTAAGAGTATTGCAGCATGGTCTTTCACCCAGGTTTTGTTTAGTTTAAAAGATGGACATTTCCCAGAAGTCCAGATACTAGGATGGTAATAATTTAGTAGTACTGTCATTGCTGAAAATGGGAAGCACGAACTTGTAGATTATTGTGGACATTTCTCATAATGAAATATTAATCTATTTCAGTGTCTTTTGAATTAGATTCATTTACCATAAATTTGTCAAAGTGAAAACTACAAATCACTGGACAGTGACTTCATCATGCTTGTGAGTACCATGTGGTTTAGTAACCAAGAACCAGTACGCAGACCTATGAAATACCCTGTGCATAAGCCTGACTTAGCTTGATGCTAAGCTTGATAAAACCTGTGTTAGTAGAGTTCTGACCCAGACATTCTCACCCTGCTATAGTGGTTCCAGCACGCAAGGCATGTTCAGTGCCAGACCCTTCTTTTTGACAGGCAGTTGTATCTTAGAGTGTCATTTCTCTCTTGGCTTCTAATTTGTCTCAGATTCAAGAAACTTTCAAGCATTCTAATGGATGTCAAGCATTTTATGAATAATTTTTTGGGACTCTTAAATTTTTAATGGGTGTTTAATGGGCCTTATATATTGATAGAGGTCAGATTTCAGGGCAAAAAAAACCAACAACGCCAACTAACAAAGCAAGAGTTTGGGTTTTTTTAACCTATTTTACAATTTTATTGCACTGCCATCCATGGAAACTGCTGATATATCTGCCTCAGATACAAATGAAACATTCCTTCAGACAGCTGAATGTTTCCTGCCTGCCAGCCTAGAAATCAAACTTTGCATGATATTACAGAAATTCATCATTTTTTTCCTTTGGCAAAATGACTTAGTGGTGGAATTGTTATAGTCAGCTGTACTTTCCTATTTTGATCATTCTGTCACTTTCTGATTCAGCTGATAAAAGGATGTGTATTTTGTCAAGGGAAATATATAGACACATCACTCTTGTTGACAGAAGAAGAGGGTCACAAAAATTTCATCAAGGGAAGCTTCAACATTGCAGCCTCTGTCTTGCATAAAATTTATGGCTCAGAAGAAGTTTATGTACAGGACTAATTCCATGGATCTCAAGGAGAGTTCTACATGGTGTGTCCCCCTAAATATGTGAGGTTTCTAATTACCCAAATATATGCTTGTTTGCTTATGTGAGTATGTTACTGTCTATTACATAAAATGTGAAACTTCGTGCTTTTTGTCTACATTTTGCTCATGAAAGTTGTATATAAGCATGTAGGTAAAAATGGCCTCATTTTCAAAATTGCTAAATGCTCACAACAGCAGGTAACTGGAGGCAGTGGTGCTGAGGAAGTTAGGTTAATATTTTTTAAAAGCCTGAATATGCTCTTGAGTGCTGCACTTCCTCAAACTTCTTTGAGGAATGCTAGCCATAGTATCTCAAACAGCCGTTTTAAAAATGTCAGGTTTTGCTGTAATTTTAACTTTAATGCCTGGTTTCAGGAGAAAACTCTTCTTAATAAAAAGAAAGAAAAGTAGTTGGGATATTTCATTGCATTATCCTTACTGCCTATTTTGCTTTTATAAGCAAATTTTGTTCCATCTTTTCCATTGTTAGAGAGACGGTTATCATCAAATTCAACAGTGCTTTTTTCTGGTTTTGTTTTGTTGAATAGAACTGAGGTAAAGGGATGATGAAGGAGATTCATAAGGACTGAATTCTGTGAGCTGAAAGGCAAGATATTAACAGTTTTGGTTCTCATTACTTTGGGGTCTATTTGTGCTGGATTGGTGTAATCCATCCAGTTCTGCACCACAAAAACAGCAAGCTGAATAGAATCAGAAAGTACAAGAAGACTTTAACAACGCACCTATCTCTGGAGGTTATCCATCTTGTGGTTAGATATATGTTGGCAGAATAACATGAGTAATTTCAGAGCAGTGTAGCTCTTGTTATGACTTCTTTGTGCATGAATCAAGAACTTTGTCCCTGCAACAATTAATCTAGAACTTTTCAAAAGCAGTGAATTCACAGTGGATATTTCTTGTTAAAGCTCTTCACAGTGTTCTGGCAGTGCAGAAAGGACTTACAGTCCTAGAAATTATTTTTTTCTTTTGCTTCAAAGCAGCCAGTCTTAATGTAAAGAGAGTCTCTCTGTGTAAAATGACAGCATAGATGAGGATTTTGGTTATACATTTTCAACAGTTGACCTGCTGACATATCATTAACAGCTGAGCTAGGGATACTCTCAGGTACTTTTGCATCATTAGGAAAACATGTTTCACTGGGTGAAGAATAAGAAGAATTATAAAAGAAAAACAACAACAACCCCAAAGATGTTTTAGAGAAGAGGTAGGAAGTTAGAGAATTATAGATGCAAGGGAAAAATTCCCCTTAGTGTTGGAAAATTAATACCAAGAGACATCGGGTTTGGCAGTTCTTAGAATGTTTTGAATAGTGTGTTCTTTGGGCAACAAATCCTGTTGTGAAAAAAATATTTTCACTGTGTTTGCTTTGCAAATGTCTTAATACCATGAAAATAATAGTGTCCACACAGTCTGCTGTGAGATATATACATTCCTTTAGATGTTATGAAAATTGAATAGTGCAACTGAAAGCATTAAAAAGCATAAAAAGGAAAAAAACTCCAAAACCCAGCAGGAAGGAATCTGACTATTTTGGGATTCCAACTCACAATTTTTTGAAATGTGGGGTTGAATGCTGCACCAATCCTAGTGGTGTCTGTATCTTTCTTGATGCTTTTTGGAGTGAACTCCAGGAAAGGATTTATCATTGGGGTGGGGAGCAGCAGACTTGATGTCATGTGATTGCTTACGAGGTTTTGCCAGGATAGAACCTGGCTCAATTTTTGGTTGATGATCCCATGAGTGTTTGGTCATGGATTTAACAGGAGGAAAGCTTTTGTAGCTCTCAAGTTGTAGATTAGATACAGAACTCTTCTAATCTATTTTGTAATTGTCAGTATTTTTACATCTTTTAGTTTCTAAAAGCCCATCCCTGAAGACTGGTATGTATATCTGAAAGTTATCGGGAAGTTCTGTTTTGATTGTTATTAACAAAACGTTTTCTCTTCCTGATGTTTTCTCATTCTCATATTGCAGTGCCTACAAATTCAGAATATACTGTGAGTGCAGTTTTTGTTCTACTGAAGCAAAAAATAGTAACTGCTGGTAGACATCTCTGATGTAGTCAGAAATGAAGTATATATTCTAATAAAAGCATAAAATGGCTAAATGATTAGTATTTAAAAATAATATTTTGTGTATCACAGTGTTGCTTTGGCTTTCTCTGCAATTCGACTTCTCCAAGATGCAAAAATTTTTAGGATGGAAATGACACATTTTCAAGAAGAGAAGGATGAAAGTATGAGTGAAAATTTGGTATGTGTGGTTACTTGTTATAAACTCTTGTTTCTTACTATATGAAGTCTTGTATTAAGTGTTGAGAGATTTTCAGAACACTAGAACATGGCAATCATCTGTATTAGGTGGTTACCGTTAACCTGGGTAGAAAATTATGTATGGCATGTTTCAGTTACCTGCTTGGCCAATTCAGTATATCTATAATAATAATTTTAATTTGTAGGAATTATGGTTTTTATGTATATACTATCAAATGCCAGCACTGAAAGTCACGTTTTGTTTAAAAACAAACAAAACGTGGAAAAAATAGCTGTCAGGGGAAAACCTTATATTATTCTGTGAAGGTATTTTACGTTCTTTGTTTGAAATCCTATTTCAGTGTATCCTTTTTCCAAAAGCCAAACAGACCAGTTCACATTATTTCTGGTTTCCAAAATTAGCAAGATATTAGCTGACTTCTGTTGTCGAACACAGAGGGATACTGACCTATACTCTGGAAAGCCAATGTACAAAACCTATTAGTAAAACACCACAGTAAGTCAAACTGGCTCACATGGAAAGAAGAATTGAGCAGTGAGGCCAGATTTCGCAACATGCCTAACGAGACTAAACTTTCTTGCATGCAGTGTAATTATTCTCTGACTATGTTGCATATCAGGGTCTGTGTCTTTCTGCACTTGGTCCTACATTTTCTTAGGACTGCCCTAAAGCCAGTTATGGCTATTCTTTAATTAATTATAAGTAATTATAAGCAATTCTATATTTACAATTAATTATAAGTAATTATATATTGATAGTTAATTATAAGTAATTATAAGTATTAATTATAAGTACATATAAGTAATTAATTATGTTATTTGGTATAAGTAAAATACAGGTAGTGCCCTGTCCACGTAGTGCTTGCTGGAACAAATCTTTAGAATAGGTACTGTTGAATTTTAGTAATAGAAAAGACTTTGTGATACATGAAGATGGTACAGGGAGTTGAGCTGAGAATTCACCCAAACACTTCCATTACTATATTACATTAATATGTTACATTAATAGTTGTTTCTATTCACCAGGAACACTAAAAAAAAGAAGTCAAATTAAAAAAAAAATCTTTCTAATAAGTCATGAACTACTGGAGCTTAATATTGACCCTGCTGTAATCTACAATTAGATTTTTTATGTGCTTTAGAGTTTTGTGTAGAGTTTTTATTAGAGACGAATAAAGTCCAAACTGTTCTGAATTAATCTCCAGGACACATATAATACATGGATATATTAATGGACTCTGCCATAAAAGCTGGCTTAATCTTCATTTGTTGCAAACTTTTTTCTATACATTAAAAGCTGCATAATAAATATTTAAAAATATCTTCCCTTCAAATAAACTTCAGGTTATAATAATGTTATTATTTGTAAAATATTTGTGTTAATTTGATTTATTTTAGACTGATGCTGCCCTGTTGCTTTGTTTGGAGTAAAGTAGTTGACTCAAAGTGTAACATTGCTCTTGCTTTTGGGAATTATTAGGACCCTAATGTTGAAGATGTTGAACTGCCTCTCGATGTAGCAGCTGCACAAGATCATGTGAATGCCCATCTGTGGCTGAGGTGTCGTACAACGTTAGTCACTGCACTAGTAACACAGATACTTGGTGTTGCTGATATGGAAGGTATTACCCTTTTTTTGGTTTAGACATTTGGAGTATAATGGTCAAGTGAGACTATTTAAACATAGTTCTTATTATTAAATAAAAAATAAGAATATTAATTCTTATCACTGAACAATTATTTATAGTAAATTCATCCAAAGCAGTAAGAAAAATATATTTCTGAGCACAATCTCTCCCTAGAGCATATAAACACAAAGCATTATATTAATGCTCATTTAATGATCATTATCTTTTGATAAATCACTTCTGTGTGAAAAAGTTGAAAATATTCTAGTGTAATTGGGTTAAATAAGTCTGTTTGTTTTAAAAAAACACTACTGCAACATGCCTCTAGTTTTAAGAGTCTCAGAAGTTTTAACTTTTTGTCTGCAATAAATGAAGTGTTCCTATATATCTCCTAAAAATATTTCAGATTTTTTTTTTTAAAGGAATGTAGGTCAACACTTACAATTACACTGCAAAATATATTTATTGCAGTTTGATTATGAATAAAATGTTCGTCATTCCTTAGTTTTATGAGCTTAGCATAACCTCTGATGCTCACTTAAGTCAAAAACACAGTTTAGGTCTGTATCCAAACTCTCACTTAATCTCTTCTAGATAATTCCTGTGAAGGAACGATAGCTAAGATCAGATTTTTGAATACATAGAATATGTTTTATGGATGAGAATGATCTTTGATTTTACAAAATCTAATTATTTATGCTGTTGGATTGCATATAAATAACATATTTGGATGAACGTGAACCAAGTGCATGCAGTTTAAAAACTAAGTGGTTTTTCTTTTTTTCTTTCTTTTTCGGCACAGAATCAATGAAATGGTAAATGTGGAATCAATAATGTAAGATTTTCCTGTAACTTTTTAGTGTGGAAGTGACTTCTTAAGAACAGCAGAAGATACTGTGAAATCTTTTCTATTGTATTTTTGCTATATGTTTATTCTCTTCTTCTAGGAAATAATGTGGCTGAACGCAGAAGTGTGATAGACGAAGTGATACTAGAGGCAGAAGCCTTTGGTGATACTGAGACACAGGCTGAAATGATGGTGCAAGCTGCTATTCTTGATCTGCAAGAAAAACGTCCTGTGGCAACCATTAAACTTCTTTTGCAGGTTTGAGCACAAAGGACAAACTGTTCGTTTTCCTTCGATGCATTTTTCATGAAGTCAGAACAGCTGATGCCAGCATTAAATAAGCTTGAAATAATGCCTCTGAAACAGATTTTTTTTCTACCTTGTGTGATTTGTCCTTATAAATAGACAGCAAAACAGTAACTACTTTGGTTTTCATTGTCTATATCCCAACAGAAGATCATCAGTTTACTCCAGGAGGATACAGTTATTTCCCCTCCAGCCTCTTTGACTCTTGTGAGAAGTATGGTTCTGCTGGCAGACATGCTAACACTGCAGTCAGGAGAGGACACAGAACATTGCTCTTCTACAGTGGAACCACTGAACTTACTAATTTTGGCACATGAGCTTACCATTAAAGCAGTGAGTAGATGTTGATTTACACAGTTCCAACAATCTTAATTACCTGTTCTCAAAGCTATTTTAACAATTTATTAAAAATGGCTGTCCCTATCAACTGTTCACTTGAATTTTCTATATATTACATAGTGTAAAGAAGTAATGCATCTGACCAAACTTATATTTATGTATACCCATTTATACAGTCTGGTATTTTCATAAAATTTAGAATACTGAATACTTGCAAAATGTATGTGAAAGCTGAAATGGGTACATGCACTTTTCCAATTTGAAATAAGGGATAGGTTGGTACCCAGCACCTCAGGGAGTATGTACATCTCATAAAACTCCTGACTCTTGAGCAACCAAGTTTAAGAGTTTAGCTTTATATGTTAACTTAGAATAATTTGAATTAGAAAATCTATATCAAGTAGCATATTTTTGTGATGTCTTAGATCAACAAATTGTTATAATCAGCATGAAGAAATTATTTCCATGTAAACATTTAAATATGCAATAAACAAAAATCTAAACACATGAAAGCTGTGAGAGGAACATGTAGGTATAAACCATTTACCTATTTGGTGATCCAAAAATAGAGATGCAGTTTGGCAGTCTCTACCTGTTCTTGATACAGAAGTTTAATCCATTAAAATATTTGTTCTCCCAGTTACTAAGGAATCATATTAATTACTCCAGGCTCAGACTTCCACTTGTGAGACTTGCTAGCCTGCAAGAGACTTAACACTTTGCAGCATGTCCCCATCCTTTTTTCCATTAATGAAAAGATTGACTGGTCGATACATGTTATTTTATTTTATGGCCTTTGTTGGATGTCATATTTCTTGTAGAAATGACAGTTTCTTCCTAGGGCTTGGGTTCCTTGGCAGATGTATTTCTTAAAGACTAATTTGAGCAAGTTTGTTTTTAGAAACCAAAGCCTAAAATTAATAAATTTTATCAAGAATAATTGAAATTGTTCATTTGCTACCAAACTCCTCTGCATAAAAGACAAGTACAAACTGAAGTAAAGGTGTTAGGGAGTATAAAGCCCTTTTCTAGTTCTCTTTTACAAGACACATTTGACTTTGAGGATTTTGCAATGTCTGTCTTACTTTTTCAACTTTTATTTAATTGGATGCCTGCAACTTGATTTTACAAAGCATACTCTTTTCATAGATTTTTGTTTGTGGAGAACCCATTGAACAGCAAATAGAAGACAGCACATTGACTTGCCTGGTCCTACCTCCAAAAAATATCTTCTTGCCACACCTCAACTTGCTAGCCCAAGTCAAAATGAGAATTGGTAAGAAAAAACAGCAAGTAATTATTATTTTTAAATGTTCATTAATTTTCATTCATATTTTATGCAACAACAGATAAAGTGATGCATCAGAAGTGGTAAATTATTTTTTTGTCATTATACAAATAAAATCTTTTGAAAACAAGCAGTAGATGCCTGTTTGGGCCCATCCAATCTATATAAGCAAAGTATAATGCTTATGGGACCTATAATCAACAAAGGCTTAAATATGAATGTTATAGCTTGATGAAACTCATGGTAACGTCAGTTTTTTTAAGTGGAACAATACTTTTCCAACTTTTGTACAAAGCATTAATTCTACAAAAACCTCCTGTGTATGTTCCATCTCCCTGGAAGCATTTATATGGAATCTAACTAATGATACCAAATTAGATGGGATAGTAGTGATAATTCTTCATCCCAATAAAATAATCAGTGTTTTTTATTTTGTCACCCTTTAATTTAACAACTTTTAAAAAATAACTGTTCCTTATCTAGAAACTTGGAAATATGCTGAATAGTAACAGAAGAAAACCTTTCAGATCTGTCTCAGATTTGTTGCTGTATAGCAAATATAGGGATGGGGATTTTGTCTCCATGTTCCTTCTGCTAAACTTAATTTGGGGTATATCTGACTTAAAATGGACTAGAAAATCTAGAAATCACTTCACTTTGGTTTGTATTGTAGAGCAGTGTCAGAATGTTCTGGATTCTTTTTCAGGAAGATATGCTCCAAGAGCACATCCATGCACTCCAACCACTACTTTGTATGCAGCTTTTAGGACTAGATCAGAGGTAGTGCAAAGTAAACACTCTGAAAAGCATCTATTGTGGCTGTTTTCAACTTCAGCTGGTGTGCTCTAGAGATCCATTCTTATTGTGCCTTACTGCTTGTGAGAGCTAGTTCCTGTTTCTGAATCCACAATTTTAGGAAAAGCCTATGAATATTGGGGAGTACATTATAAGAGGTATGCAATACATCAAAGATGCGTTTAGACCTGGTTAGAAAAAAGATCTTGGGAATTTGGAAATGTTCAGAGAGGTTTAAGTTTTGCCTACAACTGCCAGGGGAAGTAAAGTTATGAAGAGGCTTACTGCTAGTCTTTCCAGATATTTTGTGAAAGGGTTGATTTGTTTAGCCTCACCTTCTTTTGGATGGCCTGGTTAAACATCAGTGGCAACATACAGTAGTGAAACAGCGTTACAGGTATGTATTTATGTCCATTAATGACTCAGAAGGTTGAGATTTAGATTGTGGCAGTAAATCTATAACATCATTTGTTCTAGAGAAGTAGCTCTTTGTTTAAATTGGTTTTCCATTAAATAGTGTACTAAGAAGTGTCTTTCTTTCTCCTTAGGACACACATTAGCTGAAAAAACAGCTTGTACACCTGCAAGAGAAGATCCACTCCAATGGCTACATGCTCTCAAACATTTAGAATCAGCATTAAAGCTTTGCAGAGCATCTGCAACAAAAAAATTAGATATGGAAGCTGAACTTCTTTTTCAGATAGGTAAATATATAAACCCTGTTTGTCCTAGGCAATGTGATCCATGTGGCCTCTCTTAAAATGGAGACATTTTCCTGTAAAAATATAGAAGATTTGGATATTTCTCACCCTGTCTAGCTGCAAATCTCTCACATGGTTTTTAGTATCACACCATCATTGTTCAGGATGCATTGCAAAAGTAATTTCAAAACTGCAGTAGAACTTCTCCCACCTCTATGTTATCAGGGATCAAAGGGTGTAGCCAATGAGATTAAAGACACTGTAGAAAGCTTATTAGCTTCTCTGCATCAGTCTGAACTAAAGAAGATGAGATGCTTAAAAGTTTTTCTAAAGGATTTAACAAAACTAATGAATTACAGAGTATTTGCATGCATTTGGATTTTATTGACATCATGATTTGCACCAGGAGGGTGTTGGTTTGTTAGGATTCCAACCAGAAAGGCATTCAGACTCCATGGAGTAGCTCTTAAAATGCCAGTTATTGGATTTTACACTGTAAAGAAAAGAGGACAGTGTAAATATGTCACTTGAGATGCTGAGAACCCCAAGTTGTGAAGTATTGAGTGGGCTTCCAATCAGGGTGTAGCAGAACACAGAATGCAGATCCTGTCTGGGAAAGGTTGCATCACTTTGGTCTTTTGAGCTGTTTGAAGACTTTGTGCAAAGTAAACATTTCTATTAACCATTTCTATTGTTGAACAAAAAGCATATTCACTTAAGAACTTCTTGCTGCTCTTTCACAGAAAGGGCAGGTGGTATAACCACTGGTACTGAGAAGATGGTGCCAATCAGCTCTTCTATTAGCTGGCTATATTCACCCTGTGGCTAAGGGGTGCGGACAGCACAGCACACTGTATGTGCAGCATAGCACATATGTACAGCCTGTGCCTGTGCATCAACTCCTCCACATACCATAGTCTTTTAGTTAGGTTCACTACATGTTGGGAGTCTTTATGGTTCCAAAGTTTGATTATTTTAGCTACTCTATGAAGTAATTTTTTATACAAGCGTTGTGCATTACATTTGGAGCAAATTTGAAAAGATCTTGCTTGTCAGGAAGAGGATAGATACTGGACAATGTTGTTCAGCTTTTCTGAAGGGAAAAACAGGTTGGGTCTTACAGGAAAAAAAAACAACAACAAAAATAATCTTGCAAATCTACTTTCTATATTTCTTTCTTAGGTAAGGTGGAATGCCAGATAACTCAAGCAGGTAATAACAAGTCATCTCCAGCTGCTGAAACCCTGTTGGAAGCTATACAACTCAGCCAGCAACATGATCAAAATTTTGAGTAAGAAGCTAGCAATAGAACTTTAAAAATAATTTTAATCATGCATGAATACAGTTTTTTGACAGTTTTCTGAGATTCATGTGGGACTTCTATTTTGAAGCATCTTTTATGTTACGGAGAGTTTTCTCCCATTGCAGTAATGAAGAGCTTCTTTAGTTCTTCTATGATTTAAAATAAATGCTGAGAACATTTTAAAGCATGTTTTAGAGCATACTAAGTTACAGCTTTCTGTTCTGTTTCCAAATTTGTACCCTCTCTGTCAACACCAGGAACAGAGCCATCAATTAAACAGGGGTTTTATTCGTTTTTTCAGAAGATGAGCTGTGGTCTGACTCCTTTCCAGATCATAAAAATCCAGCTTGAAAAGGTTAGCAGCCAGAAACAGTCAGAACAGAGTTAGAAGGAGCATAGGAAATGTGTTTGTAACAGATATCAGGACAGTGACTTTGCCATTAGTTATCAGCATAGAAGATGCCTGAAGAGCTGAGCCAAGCTGGCCGATCAATTCTGTCAAGCAGCTCTGATATGTTGGACTTTATTTATTTTTTTAGTCTCTTCACCAGTCTTAATGAATAACGTGCCATGTCTGGTTACAGACAGTGTAAAGGCAGCAATTTACCTTGCTTGTTTGGGTTTTCTGTTACTTAAGTTAATGAACCAGAACTCTGAACACAGAAGCAGTTGCACAGTAATAAACCTCTACAAGCAGTCAGCAAGATGGAAGATAGTAGAGAAATGGACTGTGGGGCTGTTTTGCAAGTTTAATTTGCTACACGATTATTTAATTTATTACTGTCTTTCTGAAACAATGTACAGCAATATTGATGGTGCTTGGCTTTCTTGTTTTAGAGAACTAAACATCCCCATTGCCTTTATACAAGCCCTCTGATATTTATGGGTGTGTTTAATTAAAGATGTTTCTTCATGTCTGAAAGCCTTTTTTGTTAGCAAGACTAGGAAGCAAACTAAATTGTCATGAAGTAAACACAGAACTTTGCACTAAGTTTTCCACTTAGTTTGCCCTATCCTGAACTATACAGTACTCTCTGACTTTTATATTTTGCTTTACATAAACCATGCAAAAACTGGAGGGATTTACAGAGCCAAGAGAAACCTGCATAAAAAGACTGATGTAAACTTACAGGGAATGGAAATGTTGGGAGAAGTGCTCCAGATACAGTGATTTTCAGAAGGTCAGGGGAAGTTATTCTGTCCCTTTACTCTTCTCTGGTGAGACCTCATCTAGAGTACCACATCCAGCTCTGGAGTCCTCAGTACAGGCAAGATATGGACCTCTTGGAGCTGGTCCAGAGAAAGGCCACAAAAATTAAGAGAGGGCTGGAGCAACTCTCCTTTGAAGAAAGGCTGAGATCAGTCTGGAGAAGAGAAGGCTCTGGGGAGACCCTACTGTGGCCTTTCAGTACTGAAAGTGGGCCTGTAAGAAAGATGAGGACAAACTTTTTAATAGAGCTTGTAGTGGTGGAACAAGGGGTAATCGTTTTAAACCGAAAGAGGGTATATTCAGACTAGGTATAAGGAAGAAATATTTTACAGTGAGAGTGGTGAAACACTGGCATGGGTTGCCCAGAGAGGTGGTAGATGCCCCATCCCTGGGAACATTCAAGGTCAGGTTAGACAGGACTCTGAGCAACCTGACCTAGTTGAAGATGTCCCTGCTCATTGCAGGGACCTATAAAGGTCCCTTCCAACCCAAAATACATCCTATGTTTCTATGATTCTATTTTATTTGCCTGCTTTATAATACTACTGTAAAAATAACTAAGAAGGAGGAGAACAGGAATTGGTGAGCACAGTCTACCTGAAGATATAGAGCACTCTGGTACAGAACTCAAAACTGTGAAGCTTCCTCAGCTGAGCCCCATGAAGAAACAAAAGATTGTTTTGGTTGACTGGGTAATTTTACTGATTCTTGGAAGAGTTTACTGAAGACCTATACCCCAGTTCAACCACACATGTTTCTGGGAAGCCTGTACAATGAATATATGCCTTAACCTGAAGAACAAAGAGGAAACCATACAGGTTCTGCACAGAAAGATAATTTCCCTTGCAGAATTAGTTTTCTTATATTTGCGATTTATTTCTGGAATATTTGTTGCACATAATGAAAATTTTATTTGGCATATGCTTAAATCAATGTGTTATTTGTTATCACATGACCGGGATGTTTTAGACTCACTATGACTTTTAAACAGGTTCACATGGCTTTCTGAAAGAAGACACACTCTAGGTAGATGATGAAGGCTGGATGAATGATTTATTTGTTGAGGCTGTCTGGCTAGTCTTATGCAGGAGTCAGACAGTATCATTGTAATTCTTGCTTTGATAGTAACATTGATTGATCTGTGTGTTGTTTCTTACAGGTTAATAAGAAGATCATACCTTGAAATAGCACTTTTATATTTGCATTTTGCCACAAATAATGAGGCTGTGTCACAGACAGATAAGATGGTGTCTTCCAAATCAAAAGTATGTTTTCTCTCTTTTACGTAGTGGCCTCTTCAAAGCAGGAAATACATTTCTGTTAGAACACTGTGCACCTTGCCAGACTATTGCTTACATTGACTTAATAAATCATGCTGATACTGATAATCCTACTAGAAAAATCACACAAAGAAATCATATAGTACAGCAGGAGAATTTTATCTTGGTCAATGTTCTTTCTTTATTGCATTGAGTAATAGCATTTAAAATATTTTCTGTATAAAACAGGAAGAAACAGAACTAACAGTGTTTTCATTTCTGATTGAGTACTAATTGAGTTGTGCCTTGCAAAGATAACATTCAAATATGTTTTTTAAGTGGTAATATTTATACTTTACCAGATTTCCATTTTTTAGTAGAAATATCAGTGACAGCATGAGAAATATAACCATGCTAAAGTTGCTGCAAGCCATAGATTAAAAGTGTAATATGTAACATAAGACAAAAGAGGTAATTAAGATTCCATAAGATGGAAAATTATAGCAAAACTATATACAGTAGTGACTTTAGTATCAGTTGCTCTGAGAGGAGTTTTACAGGAGCAGCCAATTTGTATTCCCTGGATAATGTTTTTCAATTTAGCAATTAATAATTGGATTAACAATCAATGCTGATTTTTGCAACTTGCAAATAAAACATTAATTCTGTAAGTAGAAGGCCTTTTTTCTATCTTTAAAATATATTTTACCATAATGCATTTAGAATCCTAATTGTGAACTGGTGTATAATTTTAGACATCTTCTGGAAAACTCTCTACTAGTGAGGAGGCTCTAAAATCAGAGGGCTACAAAGGACAAGCCTGGATTGCAGTAAGAGCAGCTACACAGGTTGGTGCAATATTCTGAAAAAGAAATTTGTATTTATTTATTGAAATTTCATTTTAGACAAGCAAACAAGACAACGCAAACAAGAGTGAAGGTTTCATGAAATTTTTGTCATAGGTCTTATTTGAGAAAATTAAAATGGACACTGTCTGAGTGGTACCTTTAATCTCTCTAGGACAGATCTGACTCTGTTTGCTTCAACTTTGATTCAGTGCAAATAAAACTGCACACTGCCTGATATGTGGGCACATATATTTGACATGTGGGTAGACATCAGTGGCATTCAGGTGAGGATATCTGATTTGAAATCACTTATGTGGTAATTAGGCTGTCAGCAGTAATGATTTATTTAAGTATAGTGTGTACCATATGTCAGAGAGAAATAGCTTTTCCTGACATTTAAAAATATAGTACATTGAATAATTAACTTTTTGTCATCAACTTGTTACTCTCAGAGTTTAAAATCTGTATAAATATTGTAGTGAACTGGTTTTGAACAAAATAAATATTGTTTTTAGGTCAGTGAAGCTGTGCTTGCTTCTCAGCTGTTAATTGGAATGAAGAGTGTTAAAGAACAGAGCATGAACGATGCAGTGCAACAGAACATCCCAGAATTTGCTTCCATGGATCTTCTTGCTTCATTCAGAGACTTCTTATCTGGTATTATTTTATACCTTGTGATATTAGAACATTAAATAACTAATAAACTATACATGCCATGTGATCTAGTAATACATTAAATAGATAATTTTCATTTATGAAAAATTAAAAGTCAGACTTGTAAAGTAAAAGCAAAATCCTCAGCCTACATAGCAGTACTAAATATTGAGGAGCAATGGGTTTTAAATATCAGCTTGTGCATGTATTTGATAGTTTAAGAAAAACAGCATTGTTTGCATACTGTGGCTCAGAAAGACAGAGTGCAAATATTGCCACACTTTCAGAAAAACAGATGGATCTTGATCACAGGAGTTCTCCACACTTCTAGAGTAGGTTTTGGCCCCTCTTTCAGTCATCATTGCTTTTTTTTTTTTTAAACACTGACTGAGAATAGATTTTTCCTCTAGGTTTCTTAGCTTTTACTTGGAGATTTTTCAGTTTTTCTTTTGATTTTGCAAAGACAAGTTTAATAGCTTGGCTCTCCTTGTCCTGCCCTCCCCCAAATACCCCAAATACCAAAAGAAACAAACCCAAATTCCTGCAAAGGTATCTGCCTGGGTACTGTAGTCTAAAAGTCTAAGTCAGTATAATAAAAAAAAAAGTCACTGTCTTTCTTGTGCAATGGATTATCATGTAAAGATGCTTCCATTAGCTTGGTAGAAGTTTGTCTTTGCCTGGCTTATTTCCAACTTCTGCATTGATTTTACAGTTGATGAAATACAAGGTTTTGATTTAAAAAAAAAGAAATCAGTGAAACTAGGAATTCTGGGATAATGGTTGCCAGGTGGTATTTAAGCACAAGGACAAAATATATTTATTTATTTTTTGATTGGGAAACATTAATTCAGTGATAAAATTTGGGCTCAGTGGCTTAATTTTTATCATTGCAAGTGACTGACAAAGATTGAATTGCTCTGCTTGACAGTTGCTGGCAAAGCTGAGCAATGTCTACTTACTGTACAGTGTTTAAACATACGTGTTTTGATTGGTTTATGAAAAGAAGTGTTGTATGCTAAGACTTCCCATCAATCTGATCATTTTGTACCAGCTCCATTGCTTATAATTGTAGATAATTTCTTTTCTTTTAGCAAACACAGCAGGTGTTTCTCCTGATAGTTCTGTTAGGCAACACAAAGAAGAAAAAGAAATGTAGAAAAGCAATAGTAGGCCAAAATATATAAAAGTAAAATGAAATGGAAATGATCAGCACAGCATACTAAATATTTTCTGTAAAAGTATTAGTGAAACACGTTGTTAAAGTGTAATCTATAAACAATATGGCCATTTAAAATAAATTTTGGTTTTAGAATTGACAGTGAAGTATCAGGAATAATGGAGACATTCAGATTTTGTAGAAGCACACAATTTTTTTCTAGCAGTTTACTGTTAGGGATTACTGGAACATAATGTTTTTTTCAGTTCACAATGAGAAACAGCAGAATTGTGCAGGCTTTTGAGAGCACCATGTACTAATACAGTGGGAAACAATTTGAATATAAGCAGTGATGTAGAGATAACTGCACTGAAATTTATTTTCCTCTTTTTGCATAAGCATAAACTTTTAGGCAGCACCAAAAAAAGGTTTGTTTTTTTTTTTTTAGTTCATAGTCAGGAATTCTATTGATAATGTGCTTAATATCTAAAAGGGGCTGGATCAAAACCAGCAGTAAATATTTCAGAGTACCTAACTCTTCTGAGTTCAGGTCAATATAACTGGGAAGTTCAGCTGCTGTAGTTATGACCGATGATTCCTAGTATTGTTTCCATTTAGTAAATATTTATATAGAAATAATGGGTTTATATTTAAATTTAGAGAGACAAAGAGAGAGTACCTTGCTCACTATCCCTCTTTGCTTCTTGCAATGACCAGTCAGATTCCTGGCCAGGATCTGAGAAATATTTTCTTTACTAGATCAACTAATATTAAAGCATGATAGTAGGAATTTTCCTCTTATGAAAAACAACCAGGTTCAGAAGTTACATTTTTAGTTACAGATTAGTCAATTCCAACACAATGCAGAAGCAGTTTTTGAATTGCAACCAATTCAATTAATGTTTATTGTTGAACTGTTACTGGATTTGCAGATGGATACAGTGTTGTCTCTGAACATCCCAAAGCCTCTTCTACTGAAAACAAACCAATCATACAGGACAAGCAGAGCCAAAGTGAAGGAACAGAAAGTCTTGCCAGCCAGAAGAAAGAGACAATAACATGGATTCACTTAATTCGCTACCACATTTATTTAAAAAGGCTTTATAACACAAATCCTCTATTTGGTATGATTTTTTATTTTCCTTCTAGAAAACTGCTATAATTGAGATATTGTTCCTGGGGGCCAACACTATCAGATTAAAAGCCATCACCTGAGATAGTCTTAGTTTACAATCCCTTTAAATTGTATAAATGTGAAAAAATCTTCACTGAAATCAAGATTTATGTCTGTTTACAGATGTTGTAAATGAGGATGTTATTACCTTTTTTTCATAATTATTCATAAGCCTTCATAATACCAGGAAAATCATCCCTCAAAACTTAATTGCTGTAGCTATATTGGAAACATGCTTTAAAATTAATTATATTTGTTTTTAGTTCTACGTACATCAGACTTAAGTCACCTCAGAAATAAATTTGTTGATTGGGGGCCTGTTTGTGGGAACTGAGTGTAGTGGAAATGGGAGGTCTCAGCATATTGGGTGTGTTTTGACTAAAACCCCAGACGTTATTTTTGGTTGATTTCACTGTAAAGAAAGATGCTAATAGATAGGACCTTCCAAACAGAGTAAGAATCCATTGATTTCAGGGCCCTAGTACTGTGCACCTACATCCAGCCCAGCTGCTGGACATACAGGTGATGACCTGGTAAGTGAGAATGGAACTAAACTGTACTGTGCTGCCTAGAGAGGAACTTAGCAACTCTGGAAAAAATAATTTCAGAGAGGACTGGGATTTTTCTTTGTAGCACCAGATGAAAGGAAAGTATTCTACTTCACCACAGAACTTTAAGGGCAGTAAAGAATCTAGAAGCAGGTGTCAAAATATGCACATATGTCTCAGCAGTAGTTACTAGCAATGGGGCCTAGGGAGTGACTCAGCTGATCAGCCACTAGTGCTCTTAATTAGGGTCTTAAGAGCTCTTAGAACTGCTTTTGACTGTATTGAATAAATATGTGTTTCTTCTAGTGGGTGCTTAGACATCTAGTGAACATAATGGTGCTTACACATCTAAATTTAAGTACTCAAACCTCAAAACTGCACCTCCCATTTTTATGATACTTTATAGTCCCAACAGAGCGTGTTTCATTATCAGATATCCAGTGAAAAAATGCAATACAAATTGCATAACCTAGTAATGTTTAAGGACAGTCAATGTAATTGTTGGAAATACATTTATTTGATATTGAATAAATTTAAAGATTTTACTGTATTTTCAAGATATATGAATAATGAGCAGATGTAGAAAGTTTAATTTTTCATGGCAAATGATGATGTAACAAAAATCTCTTTTCAAAGCTGCCCCTAACTCCGGACCTCGATCATTTTCTGCAAGAGATGGACACCTTAGTTCTGTTTTTGACTCAGGGATTGTTCTACACATAGCAGAAATGCATTCCTTTCTTAAAAAACACTTGCTTGAATATTCAATGTGTTGTCTTGAGAATTTCCCAGAAGAGCTACATTATGCAGAATTGCCACTTGGTAGTCCAGCTAGTTCTTCAAAGGTACTTGTTTTCTTTCTGATGTTTCAATAATATGTTTTATATTTAACTCATGTTATTTCCAGTTGCAATGATGGTATTTCTGAGAGCACTATAGAAGAAAGGAATCCATTATGAAGAGGGGTTTTTTTTGGCTGAAAAACCTAAATTCTGTGCAAACAGAGAAGGATATAGCTAACAAATGCAAATATCCTTGTGTTATTCATTCCTGCAAATATTATCTCTACCCCATGGCCAGTATATTTAAACCCTGGGAAGCAGAATGATATTTAAGAAAGTTTCATTATTAGTTAATGAAACTGACTATGTTATTTGGTAGGACTAAGGCTTCTAATCTTGTAGATCTCCATCTTTCACAGCAAAAATGTTCTGATATCTGCTTTGTAATTTGTATGCACAAGCCTCTATGTTGTTAATTTGGTCTATAATTAAAACATTATTAAAAAAATATAGTCTGTATTCTCTCAAAATGTATTGAAGGCCTTATGTGCCTTTTTTTTTCACTGATTATCATAAAACTAGAAAATCTTTTCAGATCTCTGACTGTGGAACAGCCAATTTGAGCTTTCAAACATAGGCAGGTCAGACTACATTACTCAGAGAAATATTGAATTGGAATTCTGGAGACTATGCTGGCCATGGCATATGTATTGAATATTGAGTAGTAAAAGTCTTTGAAGATTAAATGTAAAAATAATTGTCTTCAAAGTTTCTCCATCCCACTTCTCACATTAATAATTATCCTAATACTAAAAAATTAAAATAACAGGTTACTCTCTATGGGGTTTTTTTTACCTATTTTGTTCAGTGTTGGATGGAGTCAGGGAAGCCTTGAGGGGTGAGAACTTGTTCTTTTATAAAAATGTATTAAAGTACTTTTGTGAAAGTAGCTCTTCTAGAGTTGGTGAACTTTCTGCAGTGTTGGACAGCATATCATTACTCATTTCCCAACAAAGAGCTGACTGTGCCACTGAATAAATTGTAAATATATGGTATGTGACATTTATAACAGCCATCATATATCAAAAATTATTTTACTCTGTCTGCTCTTCTTTTGACATAATTAGTATTACACTGTCTTAGAATAATAAGCTTCAGAGCTCACTGTCATGTTCATGACAGGTGCAAGCTGCATAATCATGTGTTAGCTTCACTGTTGTAGACAGCTAACAAGCATAAAGCTCTTACTTTTTTTAAATTCTAAGCTTCATTGATTTTTATCACAACATTTTTAGAAGCTTTAACTATTCAGAAAGCTGTATAAGTGATTTTAAAAAAATTACTGTAATTCATACTGGGATTTTTAAAAATACAAAGAGACAGAATTTTTGAAAGCAGGATTTTTATGCGCAAGGTCGTTTTGGTTACATGTGTCTTTGTAATTCTATTTTTGACTCCTGAAGTTTTTTAAGCTCGGCTGAACAAAGCATCCGAATTACATTAAGCAGGCTATAATTAAAATCATGTGCCCTATTACATTTTGCATTCTTGTTTTTTGTTCCACTCCATGATAGTACATAGGATTGGAAACACTCAACTAAGGCAGTTTGTTGTTTTCAGGCTTATGAGAAAGTTGAACAGATAAATATTTATGTATGTAATTCAGCAGCCCTCCAGCTTGACAAGAGCAGTTGTAATTACCTTCCTCAAAAAGATTCAACATGATGTAAATAACAAAAGATGCAGTTCAGTGAAAAAGAAAACATATCACACATTTATTTATATATTTATATATATAAAAATATCTTAAAATGGACTTTTAAGAGGTCTAGTTCAGGGACATGGCATAAATTAGGTTGTTCCCACCTCCTCCATATATGTGTTTTCTCATCATTTGGTTCACTCTTCATCCTAGCAAGATAGTGGGTGATTTATTGCAAAAACTACAGAGTAATATCCTGAAGTTAGGAGATCCTTGTGGTAGGTTGGTGATCCATGCACAGCTCTTGGCATACCATGGGTTACGGCCACTGTTACACTGCCTCAGCGTTTAGAGTCTGTGTGATATGGATCATCCCCAGCTAATTGTCCCACACCTGAAGGTTAATCCGTATGCTCAAATGCATGACTTCATCTTTAGCTCCACTTCTACCACATTTTGATGTTGGATGGGAACTGGCTTTATGAAGTAATATTATGTCACTGTGAAAAATCCATCTCCATTCACCCAGATTTATTGCCCTGTATCAGTCACGAGCTGTATTTTCTGAAAATAAAGTGGGTAAAATTCTCCAGTTTATTTCAGCAATGAACATTAAAGAGAAACAAATTATTCAGGCAGCTGTTTCCAGTATCCACATTTTGCAAACAATGATGGAGGCACTAACAAGCTTTTCAAATAGCTTCAGCATTCTCCCAGACTGTCACTGTTTGGCCTCCCATTCTTTGCAAAACACTTAAAAATATAACTTCAGCCTCTAAATAAAATATTTTACAATTTTAAGAAAGGTTTTTATTCATGAGGGAATGTTGGTTGACAATATGCCCCCATTGCTTCCCCAGTAAATGATGGCCAAACAGTAACTATTTGATGGATAGCCTGATAATATTCTGTATATATTTTAGTAAATATGACATAGGACAAATCCTCACAAACTGAATGGCTGAATTTTCAGTCGATATCACCCCTTGATAGTTGCACGGCTAATGAGAAAACAAATAGGTAAACATAAACAAAACATTAGCCTAGCATTCAGTTTACTATTTGAATTATTAATATATATATAGCAGAAAAACCCCTTTTTCAACACCAATTTTGTATGGTCAGCATATTAAATAAGATCTTTTAGCAAAAAACATAACGCCATAAGGAAAACAAATCAAATGTAACAGTTAATGTAGGTGTCTCTAAGTCAGTCCAATGGTCCTTTGCATTACCCTTAGAAATGTTTCATCATGTGAACTTTGAAAAGCCTTAACTTGGTAAAAGAGACACCTTTTAAAATTACCCATTCATCTAACTAAGTCCTTCTGATTCTAGTGGGCATTAGATTAGAACAGATTCCGAATGTTACACTCAAGAAAATACATTTTAAAATTTTCTTCTGTGTTTCAGATGTCTCTTGAAATGACTGAAATTTCATCAAGGATGCCACATGTGAGAACAGTTTCTCCAGTTCCTGTCGTCACAGAAGCAGAGGGTCAGACAGAGAGAAGGGCAGCAAATGCTTCAAATAAGGAAATTAATATTCAGTGGTACATTCCTTCTCTGGCAAAGCCATCAAACAGTACAGAGACTAAGGTATAACTACACCAAAGCAGCTCCTTAGGTATTGGAACAAATTAAGTCTCATTTCCAATGAGTATCTGTGCTCTGGTTGATCAGCTTTTAATTTAATTATACCTATGCTGATTCGCAAGTTGGACAGTAGGGAGCTACAGATTTACTCTGCCACAGAACTGCTATATAGGACAAACAGAATACCCTGATGGGTTTTTGGTAGCAGGCCAAAAATCAGAGTTGTTCACCATACAGAGCTTTGAGGCCATGTTGCATTCATGTCTTTCGCAGGTCCTTGAGGTCTTAGAATCATAGAATACTTTGGGTTACAAGGGACCTCTAAACATCATTTAGTCTATGCCCTTGCAGGAAGCAGGGACATCTCCAACTAGGTCAGGTCACTCAGTGCCCCATCCAACCTGACCTCGAATGTTTCCAGGGATGGGGCATTTACCAGCTATCTGGGCAACCTGTGCCAGTGTTTCACCACCCTCATTGTAAAATATTTCTTCCTTATATCTAATCTAAATCTACCCTGGTTTAGTTTAAACCATCACCCTTTGTCCTATCACAACAGGCTCTACTAAAAAGTTTGTCCTCATCTTTCTTCTAAGCTTCTGTTAAGTGTAGAAAGGCTGCAGTAGAGTCTCCCCAGAGAACAACCCCAACTCTCTCAGCCTTTCCTCACAGGAGGGTTGATCCAGCTCCCTCATAATTTTTGTGGCTCTCCTCTGGACCAGCTCCAAGAGGTCCCTATCTTTCCTGTACTGAGGACTCCAGAGCTGGAACTGCCGGTGGGGTCTCACCAGAGCAAAGGGACAGAATAACTTCCCCTGACCTTCTGAAAATCACATTTCTTTTGATGCAGCCAAGTGTATGATTGGCCTTCTGGGCTGCAGGCACACATTGCCGGCTCATGTCCAGCTTTTCATCCACCAGTACCCCTAAGTCCTTCTCTGCAGGGCTGCTCTCAATCCCCTCATCCCCCAGCCTGTATTGATACTGGAGGTTGCCCAGACCCAGTTGCGGGACCTTGCACTTGCTCCTGTTGAACCTTTTGAGGTTCATATGGGCCCATTTCTCAAGCTTCTTAACTCTGTTAGGTTTGGTTAGAGCTGACCAATAGCATTCAAACAACACTGGTGAGAGTCTGTTAGAAAAGCAAAGACACACATATACAGGGAACATGGTTTTTTGTAAACATTATTTCCCTAAGCAATTAGAGTAAACATGAAAGGTGAGAGAGACTGGAGAGTTGGAAGAAAGCAAGAGACTAGGACATGAATTTTTAAAATTATTTTTAGATAAGGAACAGAATGTCTGCTACTGCAATAGAAATTCATGATCTCCCAACTTTATGACATAGCAGATCAGTGTTAAAACTTTTACTTTTCATCTCTTATCAGTAGCCTGATAGAAGCTCTGTGAAGTTACTACAAATAATGTACTCTTCAATATAGTTTTGCAGGCTATTTTAGCATGACATTACAGATCCAGAGACAACTCTTGAAAATGACTAATATACGAATGCCATATTCCACACATTCTCTATATAGTCAAAATGTTCAGTTACCTATATAGAAGCATATTTTCAATTATTGTAGCAAATTTATTCAGTTAAAGGTGAGAACTTTCTATCTCATTTTCTTGTGCTCTTATACTGGTACAGCTTTATTAGATTGGTGAGTTATGTGCATTTCATGGATTTAAACTTACTATGATGACAGGGTGGCACAAGCCAATGTAACTTATTACATAGGACCTTTGGAAATTCAGTAAAAGCTTTCTGTTCAGTCTACCTTAAGTTGTCACTTTGGACATGAGCGTAAGTGGGATTGATTGACCAGGATCAGGACCAGACTAGGATTTTGGTGGTGACTCTATAGGGTATAATTAATTTTAAACTAATATAAATCTTATCCATTATTAAATTGTTTTAACACCTATAAAAACTGAGTAAAGTACAAATTCATATGAAGTGACATTCCTCACTTTTTTGAAAGCCAGTTCTTTAAGTCTTCATCAGTAGAATGTATTTGATAGTTACTGTAATGTAGTATCACTGAAAGTGCTCAGGTCTACTGAACCGTACTGCATTTTAGCTTACTTACCCCATCTTCTACAGGTTTTGCTAATTTATGCTTACAATACAAAGCCCATCAAGATGAGCAACATCAAGATTTTCAGCTCAATGTCTGTGTTTTCAGGCTTCTTGTGGATTCCATTGGCTAGGTAAGTAGTCACTGACTTTATCCTGTTATTTCATGCTATATTAAAGATCAGTCAACCATTTAGGATGAGAGAAAATAACGCATACAATATCAAAGAGCTCCAAGTCTTTAAAAGCATACATTTTCACTTTTCAGAGATTATGCACTATACAAACTGTAAGATGTTGTACACAACATTAAACTCATTCATCATATGCCTTTTCAACACATTAGCATTTCAGTTTTGATTCTCAAAAGAACTGAGTAACACATGCTAATTATATTACCCTGGCATAGCAACATAAGAAAACGCTAGCAAATGTAAGCAGCAATCCTATTCCCTCATTGGATCAGCAACTTTCTCCATCCCATATTACAGCTCTGAGCATGTAATAATTTTTCTCAGTTGTAGCTCCAGACTCAGCCCTTAATTTATATCCTTTTTTTTTTTTTTTTTTTTTTTTAATTGCTGAGCAGGTGTAGAGAAAGGAATAAAAGGCACAGTTGCAGCCCCTGCCACCTAAGTTGTCAGCCCACCTTGTGCTGGTTGGATGAAAAAATCTTTCTTAGAAAGGCATACTTAAGATGTTTCTTACCATTTTTAATGCAAAAAGCTACTGCATACGACATTTCCACTTTCTTTAATGGAAAAGTTCTTTTTCTAAAATTATGAGATCAGTCTTGAAATGAAAGAAAACATAGAAGCTAATTAATATATTCTAAAAGCTAGGGCAGCTCTTGCCATAAGATGGCAAGAACAAATGTTTTATAACATTAGTAATGTAAAACCTTGTGTTCGTTCAGAGTTATTTCTTTACAGGAGAAATTATCTAATCTGAAGCAGGAAGTTGAAATGATGCTAAGTTCTAAAAGCTTGTCCTCAGCTTCAGAACCTACAAGTTTTCTTGAAGAAAGTGAAACCTTGAAAATAATTCCTTCAAAAAACCCTGAAGTGACTGTTGCAAAAGTGCATCTTGATGAAAAAACAGAAGTAAGTGAAAATAGCTCTCCTTTTAAATATGTCTGACAGTCTTTTATTTACAACATCTGTTTTAGGGAAATAAATGACAGGTAACTTGGAAAGCAGACAGAGAGGACTAAACTTCCCTCACCCTTTTCAAGAAATGTTGAAATATTTTCACTTTTCATTCTTTTCCTTATATATTGCTTGTCACTTTACAAAAATATCAGGCATCTTCAACCTTCCACTTGAAAATAAAGGCTACATCTTCAGATACATAGATTTGAAAATTGAAGATTAATTTATATTAATCTACACCTGAAAATGCTTGGCATAGTGTTAAATTAGCATGGCCATCAACTGAAAAGTGCTTTTAAAAAATCCGTTACACATCTTCAATGCAAAATGGCCAGTGATGATTCTGAAATCAGAACCTTCTAATAACATTATTGAAACAGGACTAAAACTGGCAGTTAATCAATTTTCATTTTCTCTATGCCACTTTCTTCTTTCTTTTTATTAGCCATATTGAATATGGTCTGCAACCAAGTGACTCCCCCCACATACACACACAAAAACTGTAATTTCAGAATTTTCCATGTGGTCTGTTTGAGATAATGTCATTGGAATAGAATGTTGCCACAGCATAACTGCTGCTTGATAAATGCCAAGGCAAAATAGACGTTTATTTTCAAAGTGGGAGACATTTATCATGTGACAGGATTCTCTTTATATCTATTATATGAAATGATTAATGATGTAGAGGCTGTCATTTTGTCTGATGGATGCTGTGAAACAGTGGCAATTGTGCACTGTGCCATTATTACAAGGCTGTATTTTGACCAGCTTGGAGAACAAATGATGTTTTGGCCAATCACAGTGTTTTCAGGAGGGCAGACAGAGCTGTCCTTTAGAAGGTGTTTCTGATTACCTGAAGGGTTTTGCTCAGACTTTCATTAATACATGTCGGTAATTGGAAAAGCAATATTTAGAATACTAATAAGATTCACATCCCATGCATTATACATGTATAAATATCATCTCATCAGAGTATTTATTTAGAATGTCTTCAATAAACAGGTACCAGAAGTGTGCTTGCTCATTGGATTTCATACCTGAGTTGGGCAATTTTGCCTCAGGAGAAATTGCAAGGTTTGGGCACCTGTATTTCTACAGCAAACACAACTATTTGTGTTGCATAAAAATTATATTCATCAGCTCAGTTTTATTTTACTGTGAATTCAACTAGAATGAGCTAAAACTTGATTGTTCTGAAAAATTTTGTAAATCCAAGCCATCTGTTAGCTTGTCAGAGGAGGCTGAGAGTAGAGCATTAGTGGGGTTTTTTTTTGTATCTTTAGGAAATGGCTAAAAGTTGTTTGTCTGAAGTCAAAGCACTGCTGTCTGGTGTTCCAGCCCTGTCCTTGCCATTAACTCAGGTATGGTATTCTTATTAATAGTAAAAATATGTTTTCTAAAATAAAACAATTGTTCAGATAAACTGAAACATGGATTATACCACTAAGTATTGTTCAATTTTTTTTCTCATACATTCTGGGGCTTTCTGTTTGAGGTTTTTTTTCTTCATCTTTACAAATAAAATACCAATGTACATGATTACAAACTGTGACTATCTTAGCTGTTCATTAGAGTCTCCTTTTTATACATACAAAAGTATATTAAAAATGAATCTTACTCACAATGGGTCCATCTGGGTTATCCACTATTCTCTGGTCATTGTTTACACAGACTTCAGTGAATTTCCATAATGCAGTTGCCAAATACAATTTCCTTCCATCCCTGGTTTTGTTTTCTTTTTAAAGTTATTCAGGCTTTCCTTCTATTTTCTTTCATTTTCTCTTCCTTGCCCATAACACGTCCTTAGAGACAACATGCCTTTTTTTGTCCATGCTGCTGTATTCATCTTATTATCTAGTCGTGGTCTGTATCCCAGAGGAGACTATGGGGACTGCCCTTAGCGGGAAGCAGCAGTGCTAAGTTCTCAGCCACCTGAGGGGGATCAGGAGAGGATCGCAGTTGCCAGGGCTCAAGGAACTCCAACGAAGATTTTGGAATCCACTGTAACATATCAACCCCCCTACTACTCCTCAACACTCTTGCTTGCAATTGTTCACAATGGGATGAGAATGGAATGACGAGCCACTGTACTATTGTTTTCCAGTCAGCTCTTCCTATCAGGAGAGAATCCTGAGCTTTATCTGCAAACAGTTTGGCAAGTAGCCTATTACAGAAGAGAGAATCTGTAATGCTGCTCTGTGCAACCTGCACCCCAGTACCTAGTACTTCCCTTTTATACATATTGCACCTTCCTTGCATTTCCTTGTCATCCATCCTGAAGGTCTCTCCCAAATGAACCCAGACCTTCATATTACTCACTCACTTACTCTTTATCAGTGCATCAAAATACATGGACATTCATTCTGCAAAGCTGTACTGCTCACAGTCCCACTGAAATATCTTACAAAGTAGAGATCTGACATATATCTAGGGAAATGTATAGCTGAGTGTTCAGAGAATCACATGGACCTCCTGGACTTATTTTAAATTCTCCTGAACGCCTCTTCACTTTGCCTGTTTCTATTTGTGGGTCTACCATGAGAGTGAGGGAGCAGAGGTAGTGGTGTCCTTCCAGTTGGGTTATGATGTTAACTGCTCTGTTTTATTTCCGCTGAATGCCACAAGCTAAAATGTGTAAACATATGAGACAGAGACTTCAAACTAAGATCTTATTATATATGGAAGCTTTGGTTGAGCAAGGGAAGCCTAGTCCTTCAAGAAGCAAAGTATCTCCATTCTTCTCTGAAGCCAGCAGAACTTGCAGAGTGTTCAGCACTTCATGATGTGTTGCATATTTCTAAGCAGTATTTCCCATCTTCCAAATAAGTTGTATGTGTGCATTATTCATTCTACTTGGCTACAGGTGGAAAGCTCAGTGTGGGATGATGTATACCATAGGGTAGTACATTCCCTTTGTTTGTAAGCATGCAGTAGAAGGCAGCAGATACATTTCTTATATGTAGTTTTACAACTCTTTCCCCCCCAGACACTTTTATGTTGCTAGTCTTCTTGTGAATTAACTGGACAAAGTCAGTTCTAATTTGTGGTATTTGTTTTCTCATTCTCTGAGCTGTCACATTTTAAATCCTATCATGCTTCCTGCTTCTCTGATTCTCTCTTTTTTTCCTGTTCATGTGTCTTATCGTGCTTTTGATTCAGCACTGCATTACATTTCTAAGTGGAAAAAAAGCATTTTTATTGAATTATTTACTTAAAATTATTTGACTGTTCATGTTTTAAGAATAAAAATTGATCAGCCAGCTTAGTTCTAAAGCTATTTGATGAATAGCTAAGTTCTTGAGGGAGATAATAAAACACAGTGTTTGAGAGTTCCAATCTTAAAAGTAAATTTATAAAGAAAATAATTGCACTAAAAAGTAACCTCCCTAGATAGCCCATTCCAAGCTTCTCTTCCTTTAGTTAGTATATCTTCATATGTTAATCACTTAAATGTTTCCCCTCCATGTCCAATGGACATACAAACCAATTTATTATTGCCCTGTGTCACCTTTTACAGCTAATTCAATTCTTTCAACTTCTAAATTATTACCTATTCATAGTTTCTGCTACTTTTGTCTGGTATCCTTTTCACCTATGGATGATCAGGATAAACTTTGTGAGCAAGACTGCTCATAGAAATGTCCTTCTTCTAAGCCTGTTGTAGTAGTTTCCTGCAAGAGATGTCATTAACCACAAATTTATACTGAGGCAATGAGTGCTTCTAACTTACTCATTGGTTCTAAGTCAGAAATCTGGCTTTAATATGACTGCAATATGGACACACTCAATTTATTTGGTTTTATTTCTCCTGTTTTTTCAGCTCCCATTTGATGTTACTTTGCAGTCAATAGAAAGTTTGGAAGAGATGTTTGATCCGGCCACTGGATGTACAATAACTGAGGAAAGTCTTTTCAATTGGATCATTTCTCTGTTTCACTAAATTATATTTTTGCAATAACTTAACCAGTTGCTGAGTGCTATAGATTTAGTCTTATGTTCTAGTGTTTATGAACCAACCTCATTAATCACACCAGGATTTGGCTCCTACTGTGTTTTCTAATTTTAATTTTTAGCTTATTTCTAATTATTAAAAAATTAATAGTCTTTTAAATTATTTTAATTTTTTTAGGAATTAAATGTATTAAAAGTAGTTTCTGAATAAGAGGATTAATTTTTTAATTTATTCAATCATCTATAATTAAGTTTGTTGGGTTTTTCAATAATTTCTTACTGTTTAGAAAAGCTAAATAGGCTTGTAGCCTTCTAGCATGTTCTAATAAATATTGCTTTTTCCCTGAAGTTTTATTCTCATCAGCATTTTTAAATTGCCTTTGTAGTTATCAAAAGTTTGAGTTATTTTTTCAGGTAGAGATTTTTTTTGAAACCTGCATTTCAGATTTTTCTATCTTTTGTTAAAGAAAACCACATCTCAGGTTGGTGAGGAAAAAATTATCATTTTGATGACTCCATAATTTCAAAGCATCTGTCTGAAAGTGCTGAAGAAGCCCTAATGAGTCCTAACAAGAGCCATCTAAGGAAACATGCTTGTCCAGTGTTAGAAATGAGGAATTTGACACAAAAAAAGTGAGTTAGTTGAACAAGGCCTCACAACAGAGTACAGTAAGACTCAGGATTAAGAGTCCATGGCCCTTTGGTTTTGCCCAGAAGACCAGGCACTTCTAGTTACAATCATTTGTTTGCAACAAACAGCAAAAAACCCAGGATGTGTGGGCAGGAGCCCTCTGGGACTTACCTTGCACTTGCTATGCCATGAAAATTCAGGACTAACTATTCCCATTCCTGGGTTCAGTTTCTGTGAAAAAATAAACAATTGGGTTGAAATACCAGCTCCTTTCATTTAATTTCATTCAGGTTCTCCTTGTACCATAGGCTGGTGATAAAATGATAATGTATTTTGAGCAATTTGGAAACTGCAAATTTACCTTGGCTTGTTACCTGGCTCAGTGAAGTTTGTTTTATGGAAGGAGAGAGACAGGTAAGATATTCATCATCATGAGTATCTTAAATGTGATCAGTAAAAGGAAGAAATGGGCTGAGGTTTTCTGCTATTTTTCTTTATTCCTACAAAAAAGAGAAGACTGGACATGTTTGTGTTATGTGTAGCTTTTTAAAAGTTGTACTATTTTTTATTTTGTGCAGCCTTCCCTGGAATGCTGTAGGTAGTAGTAAAATTAGAAGGATAATGATACAATGAGAGAAAGTAAAAACTAAGTAACTGATAGGGAAGGTATTTTAAAACTGAGTTAGAATGGTTATTCAGAGCAACTGCCTAACAGCCAGTTGGACGGAAATATTCCTTGGCATTAGTCTTTCAATTAAAATAATTTATTGTTCTGCAATTCTTCAAAAAGTGGAAAAGATAAACATTAACATTACTCATTTTTCTTTTACAAGGAATAAATAGAATATGGCAAGTTTTTTTGAAAAGCTCTTTAGTCTTTCCATGTGCTTTATGAAAAGTATAACACCTTTCTTTTTCTTTTTGGAGTCACCTTGAGGATTATCATACGAGTTTTGTGCAGCTTAATTAGTATTTGTAGAACACTCTGTAGCATCAGGTGAAAATGGAAGTAAAGTTGTATTACAGACGAGATGCTTCTTCAGTGCTGCCAGACTGGACCTTGTTATAATTCCTATAGTTGAAAGAGAAATATTAAACAAAATGCTTTACATATGGATTTAAAATATGTTACACTTTCTAAGACATTTTTTTTTAAAACCAAAATATTATCCTACCATCTTCTTAGCACGGCACAAGAAAATAATGTTGAAATGTTGACCTCACTGTATCCATAGCAGCAGATTTTACTCTCATAAACACAGGATTAAATATTCAGTGCAGGTTTCAGAAGACAACATTGGAGAAAATATTTTTCTTTTAGCATAGAATTAATTTCCTTAATCAAAATCTGCTTGTAAGGAAGGAAGCTCATATCTAAATGTCTCTAGTGATTGCACAGGATAAAACTACAAAGCTAATTGTGAAGTAAATTGCTTCTTGTTTTATATATTATAGTAGTTTGGGTGGGTTTTTCCTTACCATTGAATTCAGACAAAAGCTTTCAATGTGTGAGACCAGAATAAATTTGTGTCAGCACCATGCTCAATTAAATTTCTATACAATACTTGTCTGTGTCACTGTCTCCAAAATTAAAAAGGAAGAGGGGAAAGGCACCTTTTTAGATTTCACAGCCTGAAGTGTCAGTGGGGGCTGTGTGGAGGTCTGCCTGGTGATCTGCCCTAGACACCACAACTCAAGTGCTACTTAGCACCTTGACAGCTTTGAACCACTGGCAGGTTTACCAGCTCTTTTCAAATAGTAACTGAAATATTTCTCTATTCCACGCCTGTGAAAGAAATGCATAGTGTTTCCCTATCTGATAAGTTGTTGGATGGGGCAAAGGAAGAGAGAGAGAGCGTTGTGGGGACAAACTGAATGGATTCTGAAATGAAGGACATTTTATCTTCTTGGATGAGGCATAAGAAGAATCCTACAGGGAACTAAAGAACAGTTTTGGGTTTGGGGGTGGGTTTGTTTGTTCGTTTGTTTAATTCCTTTGGAGTTGGCTGTTCATTCATCTGTGAACTGGATGAAGTAAGCATTCTGAGACCAAAACAAGCTTCTGCTCCTTTAATTAATAACTGCATCATCGAGATTGTGTTAGGGCTGAAATGGAAACTGAACAGGGGCTGTAACATTGACAGGTCTGAATGGGTTGTAGAATATGTCATTTTTCAAATACTGTTTCAATATTGTTTTAAGTTACATTACTGCCTTGACAGAGAGCTGTATATTCAAGGCATTCACAGGATTTGTTTCATGCCTCCAAATATACAGCAACCTGAAATTATTTCTGGTTAAAATAATTTTATGATATGGAAATTAGTAATTTCACACAGATTTATTCAATTGGATGTGACTTTTAAAAATGCCACTACAGCTCAAATTCACGGCATATTTTTTTTCGGCCTAAGTATTTATCCAGTTTTTGGATGACATCAATCTGAGAAAATAATCCTAGTAATTAGCCTCACTGTGCCTCAGTTTCTTTATCTGAAGATAACAGTAATCCCCTCATCAGTGAGGGATTTGAAGTTTTCTGCATCAACATTTGGAAGATTTTCAGATCCTTGAATGAAAGAGGCTGCAAATTTAAGTTATTATTCAACTGAGACACAATGTAAAAGGGATTGTCATTTGTTTCCAAAACCATTTTCAGTGAAATCCAAGAAGAAAGATTTTAAAAAAGAATAATGGTGGAACTAGAATGAATTGTTGGAATTGCAGGCTAATACGCTGAACTAATTAAGCCAGCAAAGAGTTCCATTTATGTTTGCCAAAGGTTTTCTTTGAGTTAAAGATACTGAGCACATAATCAAATTGAGAGAAGTAAGAATATGAAGCATAGGTTAATCTTTAAAATAGAGTGGGTGAAAGGGTCCAAAGGCAAGTGCTGAAGTCAAATATTTAGCACTGCAATTCAATTTTCCACTTTGAAACCCTAGAGATAATTAGAATTATTCTCATTTGTCTCCCATGTCAGCATGATTTAGGATTCTACTTAATGTGAAAAGAAAAAAAAAGTACATGGTGAAGCAAATTACACCGAAAACCTCAGTGTCACACAGTGGAAAATCAGAATATGATGCATAAGAAGTTTAAGTAATGATAATAGTAATAATCATAATAGCAGTAATACAGTTGAAATTATTTTACACACTCTTACTATTTTTATCCCTCTTTATCTGTGTAATCCTCATACTTGCACTGTTCCCCTCGGCCCAAAGGTCCATGGTTTTGTGCTGGTGTGTGTCTCTGAGGAGCATTTAGGACAAGTCATCACATGTGGAGCCATAAGCCAGGAGGAATATGATGTTGATGTTTTCTTCTCCCTGACTCTAGGGTCCATTTGGGGTAATTTTTAGCTTTAACACACTTCCAAACTTTGCTCTGCCTTCATGAGTTTGCAGTTCCACGTTACATCCAAATTCAATATACACGTTGGTTTATGTGTGGTAGGTACCTGGGTTCAGTTCTCTTTGTTACCCATGAAAGCTGGTTTTGTCCCGTGTGAGGTCTGCGAGTCCTTCATGGTGAGTCTTTTGCAGCCATATGATCTCCAGCACCAGGGATGTGCCCCATCCCTTCTCATCCCACACCTGTACTCCTCTGCTGCATCCTAAGCCTCCACTTCTCAAGGCCTCTGCTGTCCTGCCAGGACTGTACTTCCCTGCACTGCATCATCTTGTCAGTTGTGATGCAACTACCATATTTTTATTTATTTTTTTTCCTTAGTGGTAGGAAATAGATTGGACTTCTCAACATCTTTTAAAAACTGAAAGTGCATGCACCAAAAACCTTGATGAAAAGAGTTCATCCTGCACTTGGAAGATGGAAGGCCCTTATTTCCTGGTAGAGGGCTGTGCAAAATCATTGGTCACATGCTGGATATTTTGCTGAGATTCCCCCAGATTTGCTAAGACAAGTCGATTTTCCTCACCTGGAAAGCTCCATGAAGAGCATTTCCCTTCCACTGGCAAAGCACTTCTTCCCTCCAAACCAGATCTGTCTCAAGTGTGAGGGAATGTTCTTGGGAGTCACTTTTGCAGCCTTGCACAACTGTTCAGCATGCCCTGCCTGGTGCGGGCGGCCTCCCTCCCTTTCAGCAGCAGTACCGCGCCGCTTCAAAAACTGGGCTCCTTCCTGCTGTCCTTTCCCCAAAGATCATATGCCAAGACATCGCAGTGGCTTCTTATAAATACCAAGAAGAAACATGTCACAGTCACTGGCATTAAAAAATGTCAGCAGACGTCCTAGCAGGAGGAAAAATGTATTTAACTAGAGGGTTGTCTGTGTGGGTGCCACAGAATGAAGCAAAAAATGCTGGTCACATTCACTGAAAAAAGTAATTTCTAATTGCTCAACTTCAAGGTTTCAGGGCTTGGAAGGCAGGTGCTCACCTACCTGTCTGTAAACACAGTTACACTCCACAGTGAGGAGAAAAAAAAAAAAGGCCAGAGGATATTGTTACAGGAAAGAAAAGATTTCTAATTCTATGAACTGACGATAGATAAGAACAGAATAATGAATATTGGCCTTAGAGGAGAAATATGGTTGGTTTAAAAGCAAATGAGGACAGTAAAGTCAAGTGGGGGTGGAGACTTGTAGGAATGCTGTAGATCCTTTAATACTCAAGAGATCTGAGAAGACAGATGATAGATAGGACTAATGACTGGTTAATGAGGATGAATAGAGGCAATAAAGACATGATTCTCATTGCTATAGGGAAATAACAATAGCATTTTCTATATCAGTGACATGAGTTTCTTCCCTGATTCTGAGTTCACTTACACAGTCTAGAGCTGAAATGAACTTGGAAAATCAAAAGTCCATCAGCAAAGTGAAGGGGGCATTTCAGATCTACTGCATGTGAGTGCCATACAAAAGGTAAGGACTCATTTGAAACCAGATCTCTACAGAAACATTTAGTTTTGCTCCAGTTTTGTTGTCTAATATCCCCTTAAAGACAACATTTTACTACATAGGTTTAGAAAGCAGAGACAGTGAAAATACATATTACTTCTAAAGAAGTGCTAGCTTTTATTTTACCTGATAGGTAAAAAAAATAGTAAGTACTCCTCCTTCTACAAAATTTAGCATGAACAGAAGAACAGCTGTATTCCAAATTAGGATATAGACACAATGTCTGTTACTTGATCAGTTACTGAAAGTTTGCAATGTGATACAAACATTGTTGTGAGCATTAATAAAAATGGACTTGACACGTACAGGAACTTTTCTGTTTGGAATGTTTTTATTACTATTATTTATTATGATCTGACACCAAGATGTCCCACTGGAGAGTAAGGACCAGGCTGTCTGTGCTGGATGCTTTCTAGTCAGTACTCAAAACACAGCCTTCCCTCCAATTTTATAACTTAAAATGTGGCAAACACCAGTTTTGGTGTAGCTCTAAATGAACCTCGTGCAGAGAACAGGATTTACTGTGAGGACGTGGAGCTGTTGGAGCGAGTCCAAAGGCGGCCCACGAAGATGATCCGAGGGCTGGAGCACCTCTCCTGCGGAGACAGACGGAGAGTTGGGGCTGTTCAGCCTGGAGAAGAGAAGGCTCCGGGAGGACTTCACAGCGGCCTCCCGGTGCCTGAAGGGGCTGCAGGGAAGCTGGGGAGGGGCTTTATACCAGGGCCCGTAGTGAGAGGACAAGGGGTAATGGATTAAAACTGGAAGAGGAGAGATACAAGTGAGGCATGAGTAGGAAATTCCTCAGTGCGAGGGCGGTGAGACCCTGGCAAAGGCTGCCCAGAGGGAAGCCCCGTCCCTGGAAGCGCTCAAGGCCAGGCTGGATGGGGCCCGGACCACCCCGGCCTGGCGCGGGGTGTCCCTGCCACGCAGGGCGTTGGGACCGGACAGTCCTTAAGGCCCTTCCCAACCCAACCCGTTCCATGACTCTGCTCC